AGTGTATAAAGAACGTCGTAAACTTTCGAAAAGTTATTGCATAAGCTGATGTCGGCCTTTTTTTTCTAGAAAACAACTGACCTTCACAACCTCACACTTACCTGCTTTTCTTCGAAACAAAATCAAATGTTCCGATTCCGGACGGAATCTTCCTAGGACTTTTCTAGTTTACATTTATTTTCGTTAACAGTACAATTCACATAAACATAAAGAGTTAATCAGCAAGGTCGCATAGCGTGAAAAATCATCTGGATATACAGGGCGTTCAGATTAGGCTGAGATCTTGCCTGGATCCCCTCAATAAAACGGATCTGAAGGGAATTCTTCCTTACGGAATAACCGTCATTGTCCCAACAACACCAAATGCACGACACATTTCTCGCTCAAACTTAAATCACGACATTTAATGAGTTAGGTTACCTAATGCATACTTAACCGATGGCATCATATCTTCCATAAACAGAAATAAGCATACACCACTGCGTTTAAAAATAAACATTTCTTACAAAACGGAAACTTTACAGTGTCCCTATGGCAATTCCATCGCAAAAATGAATATTGCATTTATGCGCATCCGATGCATTCTTGCATAACTTGGTTGCGACCAAAACACCAGCCTGTGGTCGGATTAACTATGGATTAATGCACTGCTAACAGGCATTCTCGCGGTCACGACGTCGCCTGTAAGCTTGTGTATACGGAATAGTAAGTAACATCGGGTTATTCATGTAAGCATTAGCGTGGAAATCATGGCTGAAATAAGGGGCCAGCGAGCCATGTGTAAGAAACATCGTTACTTATATTAGGTCCTACAATTTTCAGAGATTTTACGATTTTATTACACAGCCGATTGGAAAAATGGCATTTTAGGAGGTATATGTCATGGCATGAGAATCGATTGTACTGAGGTGTTGATGGCCTAATTGTTCGACATCATAATCTAACATGCCAACGCGCGCTATCGATTGCACCAGGGTCACGCTTCGTTGAGCGGGTTAATACAGAGTGACCGTCAATTGCCTGGGGATTTTGCGGCAACACCTACACTTGGCTCGAACGTCAGAAAACAGGAGAATAACAAGGCTCAAAAGATAGTTAGTGGTTCCGACAGAGCAAAACGTTATTGGACACGGTTGGAGGATTTAGGGTAGAATTCCATTTTTCTGGAGACGTGACTTGCCTCGTAACACGTTCCAGAACTCAGTATATGCTTCAGAACGTAATCATTTGTGTTACCGTTCGACAATCCACCTAAGGTACTTCTGACGAAATAAACAAATGTTTGCTCGATGGTGGTGACATATAGCCCGGTTTGAGATCAGAATTCGACGGAAGATTTTCTAAAATCAAACTGTTGTATAAGGGCTCAAACAAAAGCGGGGGACATCACTAAAAATGACCACAATGACAAAACTTGTATTTTAGTTTAATTTTACTAACTAAACTAAGAAATACGCCATGGTCTTGTGAAAGCTGCGGACACAGGTGTTAACACAATTAGAAAGATAATTTTAGCTTTCGTGCAACTCCTGAATGTCATTGGTCTGAATTAACCGTTGACTTTAAATCGCATAAACCTCGTCATTGACCGTTTGATAGGCCTTCTTTTTCTGGAATGAGGCTCGATTGGTGGGCGAGTAGATTATTGGTGCAACTGTTCTGAGTCACTATCTAGCACGCAAATGTACGCCATAGATTGCAGACCAAATGACATCGGGTCTATATTTTCACCAACCATCCTATGCCGTCAATTACATGCGGGTTTCCGCTAAGGTATTCCCTTTTTGCCGTGAATGGCAAACAGTTGATGCATAAACAACCCACAGTTATAGTTTGCGGACCAGAAGGAAACGCATTTTTGGAAGCCCCCAAAATAAAGACAGATCTACTGGCTTTATGGTATAATTTTTATTTTCTTGGAAAGGACTTTTCCTTTGCGAAACTTTGTAGTATTCTTTCAGGAAAGAAGAGATTTAAAGACAGCTTGAATGGTCAGCGCGATCCAAAACTCCATATTAGGTCTTAGGAACAATCACATTGTTGTCACCGTTCACAGATACAATCTAAGTGTCGCATGTTGGCATAAAAATGTATGCTTGATGAGTGCTGAAATTTTGCGAAGTTTGGAAAATGAAATTTAGCCGTGATGTTTCTTGAATGACACTGATGCTTTAGATTTGAATGCCAGGCAACGTCGTCAACAACTATGTTTGTTCTGCCAACAAGTTTATGATAACTCTATTTTACAAACTACTGAAGGAAATGCTTTGGGGTCACAAACACAAAGAAAATTTAAAATCGGGTTTATCGGCGGGAAGGAGTTGAATGTGAACAGATTAATCAAGAGAAAATAGCGATGAAATTAAAATGCAGCCAGATATCAGCCTCTGTGGTCTTCTGGACAAAGAAATATATAATGCACTGAAACAGTTATACTGTAGAGCTGGCGCTCATGACCGATCAATGAGGCGCAAATTTGCTGCACAAACCTCTGGATATGCTGGCGTCAATATGGCAAGATGGCTCTCATTCGTCGACGGCGGTATTAATGTTCATATGTCGTCAAATGTAAACACATTGTCTTTGTAATGCATTGAAACCGAGTGGCAAGATTTCCTGTCAGGAGTTAGCAGAAAAAACCCTATAGCACAAAATCTACCTAATCTATGTTCTCCATTATCTCACCGCAGTAAAAAACAACTGTGTTTAAACGATTACGTAGAGTTGTAGATTAATAATTCTAAACGCGAAAATAGATAGTTTTCCCTAAACAATGGAGTTTCAGAAAGTGGCTACATTACAAGTTACTGAAATAGAACTAACTATAAAATTGTAAAACAAGGTTGGGCGCGTGAGTTGGTGAAAATAATGACAAAAGCAAACACTCACTAATATGCTAATTGCTTATTTGCAGGAGCCATGGTTGTAAGCCTTTCAGACATGGAGATGGTCAGCTTGTCTACAATGGATTGTTCGATGTCATTGTGCAGTATAAAATCCGGTTGGTCATGCGTAGACATTTTCTTATTCGCCTTCCGCGAATGCTAAAATATGTTCGATTAGCGGAATATCTGGACCGTTGGTTGGGATGAAAATTATATGCGGTAAGGCTGGCTGTCGTCTGAAAACTCAGATTACAATTGCGTGTGTTATTATACTAATACTCCTGTAGGATGATGGAGAGGTGCCTTGCTATGTAAAACGACGGTTATCAGCCGGTGTCTGTGGATGTGGTTGTAATCGAAATATCCTCCAAAATATTGACTCACACCTTGCCGTTTCTGTTGTCCGCAGTCGACTTCCAGACTGACCGCTCTCCAAATTTAATCGTCATCCAAACAATTATCGTCGCAGGTTGCTTATTAGAATATCTTTATTGGCCTGTCTAAGACCTCATCACACAAGTAAATGCCCCTGCATAATGAGAGCCGGTAATCCATTTATTTTCAAGCAAATTTTACAACGTTCTCTAGTACGCCTCTACTTGTAAATGGCTTAAACACGGCTTCTGTTGGTAGAGTTAAAATTCTCGGACTGACGCGACACACATTCCGATGTTGATTTCCGCATCCTTTCATAATCAACTGCTGAAAGACACTGTATCGGCATCTTTATTGCGCTAGCGCGAGAGAAATGTGCCAGAATGTCTCGAGTGATCAATATATGTTCCTTAATGCCAATGTTTCAAACAAACTACATTCGATCCAAATTATTGCTGAGCTGTGTGTCACAAAGTCGTAAACTTCCGAAAAGTTATTGCATAAGCTGATGTCGGCGGGTTTTTTCTAGAAAACAACTGACCTTCACAACCTCACAATTACCTGATTTTCTTCGACGAAAAATCAAATGTTCCGATTTCAGACGGAATCTACCTAGGATTTTTCTAGTTTACATTTATTTTCGTTAACAGTACAATTCACATAAACATAAAGAGTTAATCAGCTAGGTCGCATAGCGTGAGAAATCATCTGGATATAAAGGAAGGCCAGATTTAGCCGAGATCTCGCCTACTTTCCCTCGATGAAACGGATCTGAAATGAATGTTTCCTTACTGAATGACCTTCATTGTCCCAACAACGCCAAATGCACGACATATTTCTCGCTCAAATTTCAATCACGACATTTAATGAGTTAGGATACCTTATGCATATTTAACCGATGGCATCATATCTTCCATAAACAGAAGTAAGCAAAAATCGTTGCCTTTAAAAATAAACATTACTTACAAAAGGGAAACTTTACAGTGTTCCCATGGTAATTCTAGCGCAAAAATGAATATTGCATTTATGCACATCCGATGCATAACTTGGTTGCCAGCAAACACGTCAGTCTGTGGTCGTACCCTATATTCGTCCACAAACATATTCGGACTTACTTGCATTCACAGCGCGAAAGTGGGAAGGAAAAAAATAAAAAACCATTTTTCTCTGATGAAGTGAGACAGTGAGGCAAGCAGACATAGCATCTGACGAGGTCGGCGGGAATGGTGATGGCTACTATGTACTCTAAGTGAAGCTCGGAAAGGAGGATTATGCTTTGAAGCACCTAGGGGTTGATCCTAATGCGTTGCCTTTGAGATGCAAGAGAGACCACAATGGGCGTTCACCAAGAGGGATTGCTGCCTCCTTCTCCTTTGATACGCCACACGAAAAGCGCATTTTTACAGGAAATGAGGACAATGAATTTGTCTGCACCGGTCTGAAAATTTGATATATATATATATATATACATATAAAACGTGCTCTGCCAATAGAAGCGAAAAGACGAGTCCCAGGAAGCAGTCTTGAAGAAGAAGACACGATCGCCGGGACAAGAGCTTTATTAGCCTGACGTTTCGGATTCCTGCTCGAATCCATCATCAAAAAGCCAAAGGTTTGCTGGAGGACCGACAGTTCTATGTCCCATGTGCAACGAACCCTGTAAAAGCGCTGACACGCGAAATCAATGCTACGTTGTTGGCCTTGGAGAACTCAGGTGCAATAACGCCGACCGACAGACGCATGGCGAGACCCCAAGATACGGCATTGGCCCGATTCTATGGCCTCCCTAAGGTGCACAAAGACGGCGCTCCTCTCCGACCCATCGTGTCGCTCAAAGGTACTCCAACGTACGGACTGGCTAAGTGGCTGTTCCGGCGTCTCAAGTTCCTGACCGCTGAGTCAGACACCACGGTCTCTTCGTCAGCAGAATTCCTGGAGAAACTCAAAGGGGTAAGCCTCCATCCAAATGAGGTCATGGTATCTTTTGATGTTACATCCCTTTTTACTTCTATTCCCCAGGACCTGGCGATCGAGACAATCAAACTGCTACTTCAAAAGCAAATACGATGAAACGGAGAATCGTCTTGGACGCGCCCAAGTCCTTCAGCTCCTGAAGTTCTGTCTTAGGACGTACTTCAAGTTCGACGGGACAATCTACTAACAGGTGAAGGGCACACCAATGGGTTCCCCGTTTTCGGGATTCATCGCCGAGGCGGTCCTGCAACGGTTAGAGTCGCTGGTCTTCCAACACCACAAACCGACGTTCTGGGCCCGGTATGTGGATGATACCTTCGTCGTTATCGATCGGGATCAACTGCTGACATTCAAGGAACGTCTGAATGCGGTCTTCCCGGACATACAATTTACGATGGAGGAGGAAGAGAACAACCAGCTGGCCTTCCTGGATGTCCGTATGCCGCAAGGATTGTGGTGGTCTAAAGACCAAAGTGTTCAGGAAAGCGACAAATACGATGCAAGTACTGAACTTCAACAGTAACCACCCAATCAGCCACAAACGCAGTTGTGTAAGGACGCTCTTTCGGCGTGTCGAAACGCACTGCAGTGAGCCGGAAGACAAAATTGCTGAACTACAATACCTCCGACTGGTCTTCAAAGCCAATGGCTACCCGCGCAACTTCGTCGACCGGTGCATACGCAAAAGGGACGAAAGGCCTAACCGCACGGACACCAAGTCTTGGCGAGCGCTTCCATATGTCAAGAACGTTTCGGAAGCTGTTGGCCGCCTTCTCGCACCGCAGGGGGTTGGAGTTGCACACAGGCCAGAGGCAACCATCAGGCGTCAACTGATGAAACCAAAAGACCCACTGCCATGGCAAGAAACGTCTGGAGTCGTTTATCGGATCTGGTGCAGTTGCGGACAAAGCAACTACGTCGGAGAAACCGGAAGACTGCTCCGAACGCGAATGGCCGAACACGCTGCAGCAGTGCGGAGAAATGACGCCAGCTCTCAAGTTGCGGCTCATTCGACGGGTTCCGGCCACACATTCAAATTTGACGAGGCCAAAATTCTCGCAAGAGGTGACAACCGCGTGAGCCGGGAGCTGCTTGAGTCATGGTTCACTGGCCCCCAGTCTATTAACAAGTGCAATGATCTTCCCATTCAATACAGCGTGCTGAGACTTCGTCTGGGCGGAGAAATTGGCCACGCGGGGAGCGCCCTGATGAACACTCTTCCCAACACCCGGGTCAGCGCGTCAGATGGTCGAGCAATCATCACACCAACATCCAACGCACGTGATGAAATTGCAGCAATTAACGGCGCGAATATCGACCATCACGCCACGTGCAACGATCCCTGATGAAGGGGAGGGAGCCGTGAACATTCATAGGTATGCTGTGGCATGGCTTCGACATCCTATAAATACTGCAGCCACATGTGCATGAACCACCCTTATCTGCTTATGTCCCTGATGATGGATTCGAGCAGGAATCCGAAACGTCAGGCTAATAAAGCTCTTGTCCCGGCGATCGTGTCTTCTTCTTCAAAACGTGCTCTGTTGGAATGCCAATCAGAGTTTCCTCTAGGCGTCGAGCTACGCTCTCAATGGCCAAGTTATGCGGCATTAAGGAAAATAGAGCAACTTCATCAAACGATAAAATGCATTCATCAGGGCTTACAGTAAGGCCTTGGATCCTCTGAAGGAAAGCATGAGAGTTGTTGATGCTGTACTGCCATCCATTCATAAGGTGCTTTAGGTGCTTGTACAGCCACTTGGCAAGGTTATATTTAGGCGATCCAATGAGCGGTAATATGATCCTCAACGGTGCACCTACTTTGTGCACCTTTGGGAGGCCATAAGCATGTGCGATACGAGTGTCGTTGAGAGTCAGAAATTTGGAGTCTGCGGGGTTTATGAGCTTTTTACGAGTGAGCTCGTTCACCTTCTTCTTTAAAGATGCGGCCTGCTTTTTCGTCGGATCCTCAGCAATTGGGGTATAGGCCTCTCTGTCATTAATGGCCTAGTTGGCCTTATTGACATAGTCAGTCTTGTCCATAATGACAGTAGCACCACCTTTGTCAGCAGATACAAAAACTATACTGTCGTCTGACCTCAGGGATCGTAATCCCTTCTCCTCTTCCATCGGCAAGGTTTGCTGGTGTCTTCTTTTCCGGAGGAAGCCGGTCGCACAGTTGCATATGTCTGCACGCATGTCTTCAGGGATGGATGAAGTTAGCAGGAGGGATTCCAGGTTCGCTAAGATGTTTATAGGCGCAGCATTGACATGACTGAACCGTATTCCTTTAGACAATAGGCTTGATTCGGCGGGTGTGAGAGTCCTTTTCGAAAGGTTGACAACTCTCGTCGATATGTTACTGTCATTGATAGGACGGAGGAGAACTTGGAGCTTCTCTTGAAGATCGGCCCGCTTCTTCATACGAGCATGTTTGGCGGTGGCATTTATGCCTTGCAGTAAATTTTCGAAAATGTCTTCAGGCAGGGCTGAAACACACCGGCTCTTTAGGTAAGAGATTATCGCCTTAAATCGCTGAAGACGATGGTGGACGTCAGATATGATCGCACTCAAAACACGGAATCCATATTTACGAGTGAGTGACTTCCCAGTCTCATTGGGCAGTGTAGGTTTAAAGCGAAGAGACTTCGGAAGAATGCCATGATCGCGACAGCGGTGAAGGAATCTCAACTGTTCGAAGGTTGTCGCCTCTCTCTGCGCGAACTTCTCCCAACGTCTGGTAAGAATAAGCGCTTGACGCCCAAATATATGTTGAATAACTGAAGTGGTATGCATTCCGAGATGATACGATGAAAGAAGGAAGTCCGTCGGAAATAGAGTTTTACTCGTAAATTTTCGAGCTGGTTGAACCAACCCGTCGTCAGACAAAGTAAAAAGTGAGAGGTGGCATTGTCACACTGCTGGTTGAGAACGCAGACAGAGAGGTAAGCAGACGACCTTGTGAGGGGGAGGTGCGCATTGTGTTGTGATGGCTGCGGGAGGTAAGGATAGGTGTTGTGGGTCCAAGCTGTGGCTCACCGTGTTGGGGGAGGGAGGAGGAGTAGGGCAGGGTGGTAGGAATGGCGTGTCGGCGAGATCATGCATGTCCGGGCACGCATAAGCTGTTGTTGTTCTTAAGGTGGGCGCCAGTCAGTCCACCGTGATCGGAGACCCTCGTAGTGGACATCAAGGTCAACATGGCGGTTAATGTTATCTGTACCGGAGTGCCAAGCTTCGAGGAATTCCCGTGCATGTTTAGTGTTAGCCATGGCGACAAATTCGGCACCGTCCCAATTAAAACGGTGGTCACAATCAAGAGCGTGGGCAAACATGAGAGATAAGGGGCCGCGTCGGCGGATAGCTAACTTGTGTTCATTAATGCGAGTCCCAAGTTGTCGACCCGTGTGACCAATATAAACGCAACGGCAATTACATATATACATATATAATATATATATAATATAATATATATATATATATATATATATATATATATATTATAATATGAAAAAAGGAAGAGGATCTTCGGAAAAAAATCGAGTTGTACTCGTGAATTTTCAAATGGCTTACAACAACCCGTCGTCAGACGAAATGAAGAGAAAAGAGAGAGTGAGACAGTCACAGTAGACTAATAGACGAGACAGGACAAACATTGGCGGCCAAACCATTAGCGTGTGAGGAGAGATGCGGGTAGGGAGTCATGCTATATATATAATATATAATATATATATTTTATATCATATAATAAATAATATAATACAATATATATAATAATATAATAATATACTATAATAATATATATAATAATACATATAATATATAATAATATATCATATAATAATAATATAATATAATATATAATATATAATATCATAATATATATATATTATATATTATATATATATATGTTGAAAAGGTGATACCGACAAAGACACGGGAGAACGGAATGGCCATTTCTGGCTTATTAGCCGTCATCAGCCAGTCATACCTAACCCCAAGTGTGGATCACTTGAGATTCGAAACCGGGATCTTTGGTCATGGACTTGAACGCTCTAACATTGAGCCACGGGCCCGCTGTCCTGTCGGTTGTGATCGGGAATATTAATTATGATAGTGGCGCTCACCGATCAGGTTACGAAACATGCTCGTTCCGTTGTGCCTTGGGGCTCATACTTAAACCCTCGCAGGCAGTCGCATAGCGACTAGCGATATATGTTGAGAAGGTGATACTGACAAAGACAAGGGAGACCGGAATGGCCATTTCTGGCTTATTAGCCGTCATCAGCCAGTCATACCCAACCCCAAGTGTGGATCACTTGAGATTCGAACCCGGGATCTTTGGTCATGGAGTTGAACGCTCTACCGCTGAGCCACGGGCCCGCTGTCCTGTCGGTTGTGATCGGGAATATTAATTATGATAGTGGGCGCTCACCGATCAGGTTACGAAACATGCTCGTTCCGTTGTGCCTTGGGGCTCATACTTAAACCCTCGCAGGCAGTCGCACAGCGACTAGTAGTAGATATAGATGAGATGGTACCGACAAAGACATGGGAGACCGGAATGGCCATTTCTGGCTTATGAGCCGTCATCAGCCAGTCATACCCAACCCTAAGTGTGGATCACTTGAGATTCGAACCCGGGATCTTTGGTCATGGAGTTGAACGCTCTACCGTTGAGCCACGGGCCCGCTGTCCTGTCGGTTGTGATCGGGAATATTAATTATGATAGTGGGCGCTCACCGATCAGGTTACGAAACATGCTCGTTCCGTTGTGCCTTGGGGCTCATACTTAAACCCTCGCAGGCAGTCGCACAGCGACTAGTAGTAGATATAGATGAGATGGTACCGACAAAGACAAGGGAGACGGGAATGGCCATTTCTGGCTTATGAGCCGTCATCAGCCAGTCATACCCAACCCCAAGTGTGGATCACTTGAGATTCGAACCCGGGATCTTTGGTCATGGAGTTGAACGCTCTACCATTGAGCCACGGGCCCGTTGTCCTGTCGGTTGCGATCGGGAATATTAATTATGATAGTGGGCGCTCACCGATCAGGTTACGGAACATGCTCGTTCCGTTGTGCCTTGGGGCTCATACTTAAACCCTCGCAGGCAGTCGCACAGCGACTAGTGATATATGTTGGAAAGGTAATACGAGGCGTGTGTCGTTGTCCATGGGTCCTCATCTTAGTCCCATTACTGACTAAAGAGCTGCAGGAGAATAGTAAAAACCTTATAACTCCAAAACATCGCGCTTTTATCAGTATGTATGCATACTGCATGGGATTTAAGGGGTATAAGTGCGATTAGTTTGTCGTATTAATGAACATCACTTGATCTTAACAAAATCCAATCTGTCTTTACCAGTGAACGCATCCTTGTCTTTTGATATGCCACTGAGAATCACATTGTGACTACTATTTATGTATTAGATACTAGTTGCAATGTGGAGCATTCGATAAGATAAAAATAAGCCATCTCTATCGGTTTTGAACTTCTAAGCAAAAGCATATGTCAGATTGTGCTAGCTGGGTCTTATTGGTATCAGGGAAATTCACCACTGTTACCTAAAGTTGACATTGCTGATTTAGTCTTATTGTACATTCCGCTATTTATAAAGTTGAGTGTTAGGATATGGTGTGTCTTTGCAGAACGAATTTGCGACACAAAAACTTAAGTGAATCGATGTTTTCTTCAAGAGAAAGTAAGTATAGCAGTAACAACGCGAGTTAGCTAATATGGTTACAGTCCAACGACGAGTGTCCGCGATGAGGAGAAAGAAGAAGAACCGCCAGACCAAACACCCGATGAAAATCCAATCACCTCCGCAGACAGATGCGTTAACTCACTGAGAAAACAGATAAAAAGCCCGCTAATCGTCGAACGAGAGGCCGAGGCCTGTGAGAGAAAAGACAGATCGGTCATCATGTGGTCGAACAACGTGACATTCAACTTGGCATTTAAAGTTGGTTAAGTGTATTTTACGCTTTGGCAATGAAGAGCCAACCAAACGCTTCAAAACGTCAAAATCTATTCAGCACCGTATCGACGAGATAATCTTTTTCTTAAACCTTTTCAATTAGTCTTAATGCATACTCCACTCTTTATTAACTGAATTTTCTGACAATGGGGCACTGTTCCGAACGCCTTTATGACACGGGACGTAAACACATACTGTGATCAGTTCAGAGGGAAGTTTTTATGGAAGAAAAAAACGTGAGCAAGGTAATACTCGAATGTGGAAACCGCCATGTTTACCACTCCTTGGCACAAAATTCTGCACACCAACAGCATTAGCCAATCGTCAAATTTATTGTGTGAACCAATAAATGTCAGGAAATGCGAAACTCCGACTATATAAACGGTGCATATTCACCAATATACAGACTTTTTCGGAGAATGTGGGCCACAATTTCGACGCTTCGCTGTTTGGTCGTGCTGCAGGCAGTTATGCTTCTAGCTACTGCCGCCTTTGGTAAGTGTCGGGATTTCTTTACAAGTACAATTACCACCAAACTTTGAATCGAACGAACTGTCCGCAGTATTTTACATTCACGATACGTACAGAGCAATAAAAATAATCCAGCCATTTTAATCGTCGACTTTAACGTATGGTTTAATCTTCCTTGATCTTAGCATACATTGGCAGATCACCAGCCTATGAGCTGTGCAAACGGCCAAATAGAGAATGCACACTTGTGAACTACAGAACCGAGGATGAAACCAAGGGCGCAGGCTGTCGTGCCGCGTGCGCAAAACAACGAGGTTCGCCCTAAATAATTGAATTGACTACTACTAATACTACTAATATCACTACTACTACTAACACCACTACTGCTATATGCTAATTCGACCTGATTACTTATATGTTTGAGCGCACGCTCCCTGTTTACTAGAGGTTGTAGTTAAAGTAACCACTTATGCGTTGCTTTTAGGCGACCTAAATGAGAAAATGACAGTGTACTTTTGCGAAGAATACAATAAGCCTTGCAAGCCCTACGAAGTTTACGGAAGAAGCGGGTATGCAGAAAACTTTGAAAGACACACCATGTGCGTCGACCTGTGTCACTTTGTCGCAAAAGGTAACCTATTCTAATATCCTTCAGTTTTTCGTGTGATTTAATCCTACTGACTATACCAGACATTTTTCAGCGCGTCTGAATATTTTTTTGCAAAAGCGATGGGCAGTCGGAACTCACAACCAAATGATTGTTGATTTTTTATTTTTAGTTGAACATAGCCCCGAAGACAAATTTGAAATGTGCTCGGAAACGATGGACCCGTGCTATGACATAAAGCGTATAAATGGCACCTTCAATACCTTCAATAAGTGCGCCTTTAAATGCGATGGTTGGCCAAAATGTGAGTTGTTACCTTTCAGCAAGTAGTGTTACTCGTTCTCATGGGCTTGTTGTTGTAACAGACCGTTGTTTTTCTCCTCAAGTGGACAACAGCCTGGAAAACACAGCATCTTTCTGTCCCAATGAAGGCTTTTGTACGAATGCCAAATTTTTCAACAATCCAAAAGCAGGAAATGCCTTCGCCGGCCTGAAGACATGCTTCACAAACTGCATGTCAGGTAAGATTACATATTCAGATTTCAAAAGCAGAGCTGATTCTTAATCTGTGTTATTAACTTGAGCGCTGTATAACATCGGGTAAAGGGTCTTACCGAAATGACAAATATGACGTTTATAGAAGCTTTTAGCAATTATCAGCCTGGAGAATTCCTATTGATTTAGTTCTATGATACCAGTTTTACGTCGATTTTCGAAGAGGACAAACATACCGTTATGTGTTCAAGGCATTGTACTCTTCAGAAACTTGACTGTGCATGCTTACATCGGCTACCAGTTCGTTTATAAACTTGCAGCTGGCAGGTCGTTGTGGGGTGTTTTAAAACGCTATTTCATGTTATTTAGTATGATATAATTTCTATGTTGCTCGACAGTGGCCTGAAAGTATAAGTTATGTCGGTAAGAGACCTGTATTTGATGGTTTAACCCCCGATTTTACTAACGCAAACTATTTTCTTCATTTTAGAATAAGCCTTTAATCCAGCGCGTGGTTGTTTGCTGCTATTCTGCAATTTTTTTAATATTATCAGGTTTTGGGTTTTTAAGACAATTTTTCATTTTAAGTATGGGTTTGACATTGAAATTATATTAAACGTAAAAATGGCTGAGCCTTTGTTTTTCTCCAAGGTAAAAACATGTGGAAGTCAACCGACTGATTTGGCTGCAACCCGCACGAGTAAATTTCGGTTGCCTATGGCAAATTGAAAGCGAATTAGTGCATTTGCAGAAAGGAATAACTATAAAATAAATTATACGTAGGCGCTAAAATTTTGCATAGCTGAAACAACCATCTGGCGTTAATGTAAAACGGTGAAATCTACCTGCTCTCTTTTTTAAATTTATGCACCCATCGAGGGCCGACAGAACATCAATTTTGTTGGTGCATTGCTTGCTCTCAGTAGTGGTTAAACATCGCATCCAGGAGATTCAAAATCGCAAATAGGGGGATTCAAAAATTTAACATTTCATTACTCATTTGCGGCATTGGTGCGACTCAGCAAAACAGTACATTCATACTCCTGTTCACCCAACGCCATAGTATAGCAATAAGCGTGACTCTCACGGAAACCGTAGTTGTAGTCAAACTTTTGGCCAATTTTCCCTTCCAATTTACTCTAGTGTATTACATCAATATTATACAATCCAGAACATCATAAACAATTTTTCTAGCATATGCAGGCCGACTGCGAGACATTTATTTGTACGGGTGGTTTGTATGATCGGTGGCGTTTATTTGTTTTGCGGCTTCTGGCGAAAATCGTACCTTAGGTTGTTTAAACGTCACAAAATAAATTATCCATTCTTCCATAACTCTTAGTGATTTGAGCCGTAAGCGCTTATACCCCGTGCCAATTTGATAGTAACCAGTTCAGTACATCTCAAGCGTGTATGATAAGGCTGAATAGAATTTGATGAAATGCTAGCTAAAAGTCTGAAATGCTTTTTTGATTAGAAAAACCTTCTCATTTCATGATATAACATTAATCATCACGCGCCATAATCCTATGATATTTCGTACTCGTCACAGTGCTGGTCGGTAAACGTTCTTCGCCCATATTTTATCAAGCGAGTCACATGCTGAATTACGTCTTCGGCACCACGAATGTACGTAATGCCCTAAGAAGGCGAATGCATTTTGCCAGCTTGGAAAAACGCAATACTTGCAAATGCATTAGTTCTATCAGTGGCAGATAGCCAGCTCTGTCAGAACATAAGACTGGTCAAGATTCTTGACATAACCAAACGCAAGCTATGAAACCTGTGTCAGACTCGTGGTAGACTGGTGAAGTCAAAAACAACTGCCTACTGTTATTGGAGGTATTTGGCTTTAAAAAAATTAAGGCTGGTTCGTAAAAACATTGCTAGGCTCCACATATCACCACGTCACGCTGTAGATTTTAGCAAGTTTCTGTTAGAGATGAACACTTCCTCTCATGAAGGACTGGCTGTGGGAAGCGGAAGCGTGATTCTGCCTATTGTTGGATGATGCACATCGGGGACGCGATGGTATTAGCGTCCTCCGTGCACAACTGCATATATGAAAGCTTGTCGGATGTGCTTTAGTCGCAGTTATCGCACATGCTTTAAGGCTAGTAATTTAAGCGTTGATAACACACTAACCCTATTTAAAACTAAGCTAAGTGGACTAACAGGGAGTGACTGCAGATTCCGCCTCGCTCTCAATTGGATCAACAGCATTTGAGAATTTTCGATTTATGGCAGTTGCTAAACTCAGTGTAGTCATTAATTATAAGCCGTACGACTGGATCGCAGCACAATGCCAGCTTACTCAAGATCTGCGACATTGCTTAGGTCAGGTTATACGATATATGCTGGAATTAGGTCTGAGTCTCACGAATGCACCGT